AGTTTCCCTTGAAACGAGTTTTGTCTCTCTTGAGATAGTTTCCCTTTAAACAAATTTTGTCTTGTTGGAGACATTTTCTCTTGAAACATAAAATCTTTGAATATGTTTCTCTTGAAACGAATTTTATCTCTCTTGAGATAGTTTCCCTTAAAAAAACCGATCTTTGAGATCGTTTCCCTTGAACTGAATTTTTTCTCCCTAGAGACAGTTTCTCTTTAAACACAAAAAACTTTGATTGTGTTTTTATTTGAAACAATAAATTTTATTTCACTTGAGATGGTTTTTCTTAAAACCAACTTCGTCGCTTGAGACAGTTTTCCCTCGAAATAAAATTTATCTCACTCGAGAGTTTCTCTTAAAACAAGTTTCTTATTCATTTCCATCCAGATGTTGAATATTTGACAGGAATTCTAAAGTTAGCAGAGGTTTCATTTCACAATTCCATGTTGAAGAAAAAAATTTCAGCAAAGAATTAATTCACGTCTTCATTTTTGAAAGAAATAAATCTCAGCAAAATTCGAGGACCTTTGGGTTAATACCTTCGAGTACTTCAAACACAATTATTACTGACACATGATAATCTTTTGCAGGTTTGAAAATCTTTAAAGATAAGATAAACAACTCAACATTTCTAGTGGAGAGTTCATAATGAGAAGAACTCATCCAACGAGGGAGAAGAAGTTCATAATGAGAAGAACATGTTCAACCTTGGTTCAAGATTTCCAGTGGAGAGTTCATAATGAGAAGAACTCATCCAATGAGGGAGAAGAAGTTCATAATGAGAAGAACTTGTTCATAATGAGAAGAACTTGTTCAACCTTATCTCGATTCATCGCATATGGAGTTGAATCAGCAACACCTCACTCGAGGGATCAACGTTTCCAGTGGAGAGTTCATAATGAGAAGAACTCATCCAACGAGGGAGAATAAGTTCATAATGAGAATAACGTGTTCAACCTTGGTTCAAGATTTCCAGTGGAGAGTTCATAATGAGAAGAACTCATCCAACGAGGGAGAAGAAGTTCATAATGAGAAGAACTTGTTCAACCTTAGTCAGCATTTCCAACGGAGAGTTCATAATGAGAAGAACTCGTCCAACGAGGGAGAAGAAGTTCATCATGAGAAGAACTTGTTCAACCTTGGTTCAAGATTTCCAGTGGAGAGTTCATAATGAGAAGAACTCATCCAATGAGGGATAAGAAGTTCATAATGAGAAGAACTTGTTCAACCTTAGTCAGCATTTCCAACGGAGAGTTCATAATGAGAAGAACTTATCCAACAAGGAAGAAGAAGTTCATAATGAGAAGAACTTGTTCAACCTTAGCTCAGCATTTCCAACGGAGAGTTCATAATGAGAAGAACTCATCCAACGAGGGAGAAGAAGTTCATAATGAGAAGAACTTGTTCAACCTTGGTTCAAGATTTCCAGTAGAGAGTTCATAATGAGAAGAACTCATCCAACGAGAGAGAGGATTCATAATAAAGAGTTTGTTCAACCTTTTCTTGATTCACGACATCTCAAATCAATAACACCCCGCTAGAGGGATCATCATTTCTAGTGGAAAGACCAAGATTAGAAGAACCCGCGACTTGAAGAACTGAAGATGAAGACTCAACCAAGAGAACGAAGCAAAATGACATCATTTGAAGTAAGGACTCGACGATTCACAGAAAGAGAATAATTGACATTCTTAGTGAAGAGTTTACAGCGTGGCAAGAAGAGACCAGGAGTAAAAATGGTGTTTTATTTTCTTTGTTTCATTCCCGTTTCACAACAATAAGCAAAGAGGGGTAGCTGTAAACACCATTTTTATTTTATTCAATAACCCATGCTTTGCTTCATATGCTACTGTTACCCACGTGAAGACCAAGACCTGGCTCCACATCACCGTGCCCATACTGGGGCACCACTACCGAGCAGCAGCACATGCAATTCTATCGCCCATGCCCTATGAATAAGATTCCATTAGCAAACACACACAAGAAAAAGGCAGTAGGGATCTCGATCAAAAGGAGGAGAGAGCATTACATTCGAGGAGGGGGAGGACGCGTAGAGAAAGAAGAGGAGAAAAAGAAAAAAATTGTAAACAGAGGGCAGTATTCTTCTACTAAATTCAAAACAGAAAAACAAGGAAAGCAGAGGTGTTATGCTCTCAATAGTCAGTAACCAAGCAATGTAAACAAAGGGTCTTCATACATTCATGTTTTTTTTTTCGAATCAATAGAAATAAATGGTAATGATTTGAGGTATTTTCATCTCATTTTTCAACTTCTAGCATGCTGTATATATGTTGGAATTTCAAAATATGTAGGAAATAGAACGGGATAAGGAGGAGTGTTTTATTACCTTACTCGGCCGGAGTTAAAAGCTTGGGTGGCCTCCGTTTTGCGACTGCCGGCGTTGGGAGCCTTTGGGGAGGTAAACGACGCCACGTGGTGAAGAAGGGGAGAGGGAGAGCTAGGGATTAGAAACTATCGAGAATAATAGAGATGGAGAGGGAAGTGTTTGTTTATTTTAGTTTTTAGGTAAATCACGCTAAGGTCCCTATACCTTTAGCGTGTTTTACATTCTGATCACTAGTTTTAGGTTAAATCACCCTTTTGGTCCTTTTTGTTTAAGGTGATTCGTGTTTCAATAACTTTTTGGGGTAAATCATTCCTTAGGTCCCTCTATTTTATGCATGTTTTATATTTTAGTCCATAATTTCAGCACTTTCCTTTTTCTTTTTTCCTTTTCTTTTGTATTTGATGTTCTACCCTTTTAATTTCTTACCCTTTTAATTTTAATATATATTTTTGTTTACTTATTTAATATAATTATGATCTTTTTTATTAATTTAGTCAAAGTTACTATTTTATTCCTATATTCAGATTTTATTTTTATATTTAAGTTGTACATTTATTTTAGTTTCCTTTATTTACATGTAATTACCAAATAAGCTTACTTTCCATCCATTTTAGAATCATGTTAGCATTTGTATTTATTTCCTTTAATATTAGTCCGTTAAAATTTATTCTTCATATTTATATTTGCATTTACTTCATTGTAATAGGTAAAAATTAATTGCATGAATATATACGTTTTATTGTACAAATATGTTTGTATTAATTGTGTGGAATTAACAATTATTCTCATATGTTTACGTGTATATGTGTGTATATATTTAACTTTCTATTATTTTATTATCATGCAATGATATGTTTTTACTATATTTACATTGTATTTTACATTTATTAAATACATCTTATATTACTTATATTATATTATGTACACATTACATGTTTTTATTTATGAATATATCGAACACATTTTATTAGTTTATAATAATATCTTACCTTGAGAGTATATGATAATATAATTACTTATTCTTAAACTTTACCTTAATATTAATTTTAATTTAGTCCCTATTACATGATTAGTTTATTGTCTTTTAGTTTAGTAATTTAAAATTTATGCAATTAGGTCATTAAACTTTTAGTCTCTTAGAGCCCGATATTTTAGTTCTTTAATCCTTTTAGTCCTCGAACTTCGATTAATGTTTATATTGACATAATTAAATATGTTAAATAGAACTTCCATTTTAGCTTAGATTTCAAACCAGTCATTTAATTTAGGGGATAATTCAAGTCGGCCCTCGCGTAAACGCTCAAGGGACCATCTCGGTTATTCAATTCAATAATTGATTAAAATTAAATAGGATTAATATCAGAGTCTACACCTTTAGATTTAAGCCCTTATGTTCTTTAATTTTCATAATTTGTCACCGTAAGTTAGAAAAAGTCTTAATTTATTTTTAGTATAATTAGGATTAAATAAAATTTTGCTTGATTTGATTGTTTTTAAAACTTAAGGCAATGTTCACTTATTAAGAAGTTAACAGTATATCCTCCGCGATCGTTCTCATGAGATGACTACTGATAATTCTCTAAATAAGTCGACATCCTTTTCAAAACTGCATCATGTTTTCTAAAAACGAGGCAATGTTCTGTTATTAGACACAATAGCTGATCTCCCGCATTTACGCTCGGGAGTGAATGCTATCGGCCTTAATAAACGAATACCCTTTTTCAACTTTGCATCCTTAATGATTTTTAAATTAAATAAAGATTGAACTCAAAATTTATGATTTTAAATATAGGGTAATCAACTAGGTACCAATTTTTGGGCGCTTGTGGGGTGCTAATCCTTCCCCACGCGTAACTGACTCCCGAACATGATTTCTGGATTTTTGCAGACCCTAAAACTCGGTTTATTAAAATAAAATGTTTTATTAAAATCACCTAGTTTTTACGGTGTTCAAATCTCACCTTAAATGATTAGTGGCGACTCCTCACATTTCGAAACGATTTTCAAAGAGAAAACCCCCGAGTCGGTATCAGTCTTTCCCTGCCCGAGCGAAAAACGGTGTCGACATGGTGGAACCCGTAATCAAATATGCAACAGAATATACCACCAAATTAATCATAATTTTGTAAGTGTCACCCTTCAACTCATACAAGTCATGAATATTCGTTTGCAAAAGAAAATGGCAAGATGGTCTACCAGATTAAACTATATGCCTAGAGCAACGGATATGAAGGACAAAACTGTTCATCAAATAGCTAAAACTTCGTCGAAAATCCTTCAATGAATTTGGATAACAGAGTTGGACCACCTTAAACTCTCATTCGAAAAAGAACATCTATAATTCTATGGTGGGCATAACGCTATTATGCTATGAACCTAACGTAGCCAAATACTAGTATGAAACCAAATGAAAAATCAAAATGCACCAAAAACAAACGCACACACATTTTTTATTCAAGTAAAACATCAAAGAATAATTAACACGCCTTTAGCATAAGCTTCCTGGTGCCTAATACAAAGCCTGCATCTGTATGTCCAATTCCTGTAGCAAAATGACCGAATGCTCCGGCAGTGCAGGTGTGAGAATCCCTCCCTAGTAAAACCTGAAGGCAGAGATAAAAGATAATACCAGCTCCAAAGCTTGGCGCATGAATTGAAGTTTTGCATTTCAGTAGTTATGGTAGGGAGGCCTGCAGTGACCCTCTTGGGCAAGTGCAACATGGCATACTCCTTTATAATCAGGGTTTGCCTGCAATGTTGTGAATTAGGATTAAGCTTTATGTCAATGAACAAAGAATATACCCCTAGTTCTTCAGAATATCGGACTGGAAACGAATGAAAACATAACGAGTGGCATACCTTAAAATTACCAAGATCTTTTACATCATAAAAATACTTGATATTTTGCTCGGTGCAGAAATCCCTCAAAATATCCACATTACGGTTCGCACGTTCATCACTGGTGAATATGTAATGGTCAGGTATAATAACAACCTTTACACGATCCCAAACCTTCAATACCAAAAGGTTCGTACACGGATAATGAACTCAGCCACAACAAAGGACACACAAAGAACTAACAGCAGTGACATAGCTATTGTTACTTAATGAAACCACAATTTCCGATTCCGAAATGCTAATTATATTCGAACAACCATCAACAAGAGCTCAATCATGCACAAAACTAAGCTAAGAGAAAATAAAGAAAACAGGTAAGATAGCAGATGAACAGAACACCTTTGCATTTTCACCAAATTCTTTCTTGAAGATACCAATGGAACCAGGACCACCAACATCATGTGTCATCAAAATATCAACATTAATCCAAACATTATCACCTGGGTTCAGCTGTGGTTTCTCAGAGGCTCTTGCAAGAATCTTCTCTGTCACTGTCATTCTAGTCTTCACCTGAGGAAAAAAGAACCCAACTTCTTTCATAAATCAACACAAACACATTAACCAATCAATGAAGATAAAAAGTGAAAAAATTTATAAAAAAGAACTAACAGAGCCAGTCGTAGCTGGTTCACGCTCAGATTGCCGGGGTGCCAAGACCGAGACGATTTTCGTCGAAACTTGTTTCTTGCATTTCTGAATGGAAAATTGAGATGTTGAAGGAAAAGCAGAAAAGCCCGAACTTTTCGGGCCATAAAAATTGATTTTTTTCTTTCTTATTAGCCAAAATAACTACATCAATCAAAATCATAAAATGAGTAATTGAAAGCACTGACCGTGTTCCTGATGAATGAAGAAACTTGGTCTTAGTAAACAAAAAAACACACACCAAACGACAGTGCACAAAATAAAATCTTAACGTTGAACACTAAAAGTTGGAATTAAATATAAAAAATGTACCACCAAGAGAACATTGGATGAGTCCATGCTTATGATTTGACAAAGACAGAAGTCGTAAAAGAAGAAATTGAGGTGCAGATTACAGTTTTTGGGTTCCAATTAGAACATCTTCAAAAAGTTTCAACGCTCGAGTTTAATTTCGAAGCTGGGTTTCAAATTTCTATTCAAAGCTGATTCCATTGCAGTCGGTCACTTATGGAATAAGAAAGGGAAAGAACAATGAAACGCTAAACACTACAGTCATCAAGAAAACGAGCAATAATGGGCAGATCAGTGTAGTAGAGAAAAATACATAAACATGAGTGAAAACACAAACCCATAAAAATTGAACAATGAAACAAATTGAAATATCAACTCCAATAATCAAATAAAAATGTTAAAAATATCAACGCCAGAAGCAAATACCTAAAAGGGAGATGGGAGACTAATACGCCAAAGCAAATCTGAATGCCAAATCAAAGAAGAAACGGATTTTCTTTCGGCCAGAACCAAGCGGAGAGAAAAGTATTTTAGACAACGAATTAGACAATGAAGACCAAGAATAAGCAAATACCTAAGAGAGATGGGAGATTGATATTCCCGGAAAAACAAGAAAAAAAATATCACGGTTGGTATTCATTCTTTACGTGCACTTGGGAATATGGTCCATCTAAACATGGGTATAGATATCTGGAAAAAACATTCCTTCCAGAAATAAAATATGACGTGAACTAAACAGGGCCTAAGAATGACTTAAACACTCTTATGCATAACTTTTTAACTATGAAAGTCTCAAACTAAGGATGATTATATGACGTACGTGTAACTAGGAATGAACAAAATTCGATTCAACTTGAAAAAATTGATTTTTTTTCGTACGCAATTTTGTAGATTTTTAGTTCATATCCGAGGAACACTACAGTTCAGGGATATCTAACTCCCCTTATCAAAGTACAATATCTTATTCTTATGTTAGTAGATATATAAATTCATAAGACTCTTTTATATTTTGTTTTGTAAATTTTATTATTATTTTGATTTATAATTTGTTGTATTTGGAACTCTGATTTTGTATAAATATTTTAAACGTGAATTCTTTTGATTTACTTATTTTAGATATTTTAAACTGAAACATCTTTCCTACGATCAAAAATAAATAAATTTTAAATTTGATAGTCGCCATAATAATCTAATATGACACCTTGGACCCTTCAAATATTTCATATTTGGTTTAGAGTGTTACAATTTTATTTAATTTCTGTTATGCTTATACTCTTTTCTTTTTGTGACAATTAACCGATGCATATCTCAATTAATGAGAAATTTTATATTTATTTACTCTATCGTGTATTTACTCTTTATTTTAAATGCTTAAGAAACCAAATCATTATATATCTATAATGCTTATCGATTGCATCAAAGTGTGAGTTCATAAAATTATACAAGTTTCTGGTTGACTGTGAGGGAGTAGCCCGGTACGTATAAACGGATAGAGAGAAGCATCATCTCACCAATGAGGCAAGGCACACCCTCGACTTAAAGGATAAAGTACACGACTTTAAAATTATCAGGATATCAGCTGGAGAGTTATGAATCCCCTATTAAACTTTTTTTTAATATTCTACAAGCAATTAGACATCATTCAGAGGCAACAGAATATGAACCAAAGACCGTTCCGAAACAATCCAGACCACAAAATCTTGTTCTCAATGAAGGACTGAAGAACTACTTTAACCTAGGAGCACAAGAGCTTTTACTGCATAACATGAATAACAATACACAACTACCCATTCTCATCTATATGCTTGTATTGTAAAACTAATATTAGACGGGTAAATATGGATTCACAGCATCCCGAAAACCTACAGCCTTCGGTACCATCCCCGGTAACTTCTAAACCCTCGATTCTTGGAGAATAATTAAAAAAAAAACTAAACAGATTGGATGTAAACCAGCTCTATGCAAATGCGTCTAATTGTATAACATGAATGCATGAGAAAGCAACACTGACTAGACCCTAAGCCATGAACAAAAGCATCAAGACCATTTCTCACGCTTATAGGCAACAGGATTAAGCAGTTAAATATCACAAGTCTAGAATAGAAAGTTTAGCTTACTTAACAAAGACTACAATAGAGGTTCATTCAGACACGACTGGACCACAATAATATCTACAGGTAGCTAAAACATTATAAGCATTAAGAACCATTCAGCCAAATTCAACCATTTAATCCGGAAATCCATAATTATAACAAAAATGTTAATGTTATTTGAATATTTTTCTCAAACAAAACTTAAAGATCCCAGAAGAGCTAAGAATCGAAAAACATGAAGAAAAAAATTACATTAAAACTCAAACAAAGCATGCAACTGTACGAGGAACCCTCAAGCATTGATATTTTGCTTTGCCTGCTTAGTCAAAGAGGCTGAAACCCATATCCTGCATGAAAATAAAATTGCATTAGTTAAGCACACACCAAAATAAGAATCAATAGACAATTACAACGTGCAAAGGTAATTACATCATCGGATTCTTCTTTCTCCTCGACCTTCTCCTCTTTCTTGGCCTCAGCAGCAGGAGCAGCAGCAGCAGCACCGCCACCAGCGGAAGTAGCAGCAGCTGCAACAGCACCACCACCAGAAGGAACTGAAGCCAACTTCTCCCTTCCACAAGCAATTAATTCGGTAATATCTTTTCCTTTAACTTCGGACAATAGCAACTCTATCCTATCATCTTCAGCCTCAGCTCCAACTACAACATTAAAAAAATGAATCATTCTTTTTGCTATTCGTAATGATAAAGAAATCTCCAATAACCTATTTCGCATATCATCATTTCCCCCACAATTTGTATTATTAAAATAAAATGAGAATACAAAATTTGAATATCAAAGATGTTTCGAAAACAGAGTAAATCGAGTGAGAAAAGGACCTGATCCAAGAATGGCCTTCAAGTCCTTGGCTGAAGGGGAAGCGTTTCCTCCAAGTACGGCGAGCAAGTAGGCGGCGACAACCTTCATTTTCACTTGATGAGATAATTAAGAAAACGGAGCGGCAGAGGAAAATAAAGAAGCTAGGGTTTGCAGGAAACAGGATGAAAATGAGCGGATGCTTGCCAGGGTTTTTATTTTTGGTGGAGAGCGTGTGATTGAATTTCGGCCGTCGATTTCAAACTAACAACCTTGTATTTCGGCCGTTGAATTTCGGCCCATCTTCCAAATTTCAATCTAGCGTAAATGTGTTCAAGCCCATATCCGCTTTGATGTTGATTTATTTAAGTTTTAAACGAGTTCATGATATAATGATTAAAATAGTATTTTAAAAATTTAATTATTATTTATATAAAAATTAAAAAATATATTTATTTAGAAATAATTAATTGTTTTAAAAATAATAATATCTTAATGTAACAAGTGCTTTTTCTTTATTGATCTTAGAATTGTTATCAATTTAATTAAAAATTGATAAAATTAAAATTCTAATAAAAATAAGATTAATCGATAAATAAATGTGTATATGATATGTGTCATTCGTTTATCTTAATTTATAACTTTTCTTTAAACCTAATTCTGGCGAGATTGCTTCCTTTCTTTCCATCCATCTTTGATTGGTGGGGGACGACAACTAATATTGATGATGTAACCCCTTGTATTTTTTTATTATTATCTTATTCCGCATTTTTTATATTTCTAATAACTCTACATTTATAACAAGTTTTCTTCTATCTTTTGTCGCGCTTTAGATATTCTTTATCGACCGTTTGATCATTCTTATCGTTTATTTTTCTTAAAGTTAAATTTAACATCGATATGACTAATTAAGATGATATTTATTTGTTATCATGTTGATCTTTCTTACTTGAAACCCTCAAATTAAATTTGAATACACGATTTGTGTTCATACATAGTTCTCTCATAGCGCTTAACTTTGATATGTGTTTGTCAATGATATTTCAATAGTTTAATCATCTATTGTGATTCGTAATCAGATATACTCATATCATTCTTTTGTATTGATTCTTTAGCATCTCCTTATATATTATTTTATGATTTCAAGTGACTAATTTCTTTAATTAATAATATAAAAAATATCTTAATTACATGTTAAATTTACGATTATAGTTTTAATTTTTTTTATTTGAAGTATTTCTTCTTTTTAATAAAACCATTTACTTCTATTTCTCTATATATGTATATATAAAAAAAACTTAATTTCTTCCCCTTTTTTTTCTTTCTTTCTATTATCTAGGAAAACAAAAAAGGGAAATTAAAAAATCAGAAATAATATTATAAAAAATAATCAACTAATTATTAAAAAAATTAATTCATCGCCCAAATAGAATGTCAAATATATGCCGAAATAAAAAGGGCAGAAAAATGAACAGGCCAATCAAAAGAATAATAAAAGCTGAGAATTGGAGGGCCAAAAATTATTAATATGAAAGAAAACAGTTTGGCTTCAAGATTGTGCTCAATAAATCCTTACAAAATTAAGACAAGTCCATGCAAATATTTATTTGGATTTAAGTTGGAATTCTCTCAGAATTTAATTAGCGTTTCAATTTCCTATCGTGCTCTAACGTAGTCAGTGTAAACAGAGGACCAAGTCCAGGCAGCATTTTGCATTACCTAATGCCTTCACTGCTTTAGACATCATTCTGAAGCAGCAGAATACAAATCAAGGACCAACTCAACCAAAAAACCTTGAACAAAATTTAACCAATAGGATGCACAGTAACATATCTAACAAGAATAACAGTATGCAGCTTGTAACACCCCCAATAATGGGTCTAAATTAAAATGTTTAGGAGTTTTGGTGTCTGTTGGCAAACTTTTTAAAGTATGGAGACTGATAGTACAATTAACCCAAAAATAAATTGGTGTCCGTTTGTTTCTCACTTTTTGTTGCTGATTTGTTTCGTCCATTTCACCGTCGTTCGTGCCGTCGTGGGTGTCACCTCTGGCACCATTCACTTCGTCTCATCTAACTCATTCGTCCAGTGCCCTTGGATTACTTGTCATTTTCGTTTGGGGAGGAAAGGCTATTTCGGGTTTTGCAAAAAAAAACTCCATTTTCGCCATTCATCGCCGCAAACCAATCCCTACAAGAGACTCCCCATCTGAGAAAAATGGTATGAATCCGACCACCGAACGTCCCATGCGACACACGTACCGCCACTACTCGTGTGGGAGTCTATTTTCTACAAACCGGTCAAACCATTCATGAACGGTTGAGCCGAAAGAAAACTGAACCTCAAAATCGAATTGGATCGAATTATGACCCAAATTGTTGATCGTTAACTTTAACTATTAACTCTGACTGTTAACTTTTAACTTTATGTTTTTTTTACGTATTGATTATGTTTTATCAAATTCTAACTCGAAAGTATTATTTTACGTCATACATTGCCTTATGTTATATTTATGTTAAGGAAACTTTGAAAGTTAAGGTCAATTTGTTTCACTAAAAATATTTTCTAGAAAATGTTTTTTTGTAAAATGAATTACATCTTCTAAAAATGTTTTATGATGTTTGGAAGATGTTGTCTAAATTATTTTTAACTAGTAGATAATTTTTTTAGAAATTATTTATTGCAAATATAAAATATAATAAATATAAAACTTAATATTATTATTTTAAAAATATTAGAATAATTTATTTAATACTATTTATGCCAATATTATTATTAAAATATTATTTATATAATTTTACAAAAAAATATTAACTCTGGTATATTCTATTAAAATAAAAATATGATAAATTATATTGAATATCTATAAAAATAAAATTATTATATTATATTTTAAAATTATTAATAAATATATTTTAAGGAATTTTTATTATATATTATTAAAATAAGAATTTAATAGTATCATATATTATTATAATATAATTGAGTATATTATTGTAATAATAATATTATTATATTATATTATTAAAAATATTAACAAATATATTTTAAGTATGTTAATAATTAATATTTTATTAAAATAATACTAAAATATCATATTAATATTAAATTTATAAAATAATATTATTTTGAGTATTTATGTTTTGAAGTGAAAAATTTGGAAAATGACTTGCGAAAAATAAAACCGTAAGTCATTTTTCAGAAAATGCAAAAGAAATTCTGTTGACCAAGAAAATGTTTTACATTGACCAATCTGTTTTCCTCCAACTAAACACTAAAAAACGATAAAAACGTTTTTTTCGAAAAACATTTTACATGAAACAAACGGACCCTTAAGAACTTGCTCTTTGATGTTGTGTTTCAAAGAGTTCACGTGTCTCCATATACTTTTCCAATAGATTCAAACCATCACCGTTAAGTTCAACTTGGCTCTACACATTCGACTCAAGATATGCATTTTCATTCCGTAGGATCTAGTATGATTGATCGGGGAAAACATAAGGCTTAGTCGATATTATTCAGTTGGTTTAGGTGTTTCCCTTGACCCGTATTATATATTTATTTTCCATACTATATTCAGCTGATGCATTGTTATTGGACCGCCTAAGTGCGTGATGAATATTGAGTATACTATTATGTTGTACGATTCTGAATATTGAGTATACTATTTGTTCTATTTTTTATATATATTATCCATGATATGTATTTGTGCTAACTTTTTGTTTATATTAACATTTCTCTTCGGAGAGCGAAATACTCGTCCTATTTCTTAATTTATGATTTCTATTTGGATTCCTTTTCGAATAATAACATCTCCATCCTATTTTTTGATTTCCTGTTTTCTATTTGGGTACCTCTCCAGAAAATAAACCCATCCTATTACCCGACACAAAAGATAAGGTTGTAAACTTCTGTTATAGTGTTTTGGTGGAAAATATTCGAATTACTGTTTGCATGATTTTTATGTTGTATCATGCTTTGCTTATCTATGTTTAAGAAACAATATCTGTTGCATTTGCAAGATACACTAAGTTTTATAATTTACTCTTTTAATTTCTATCTTTTCAGATTTTTTTGGGTCAGTCGATAGCACATTGCTTAAATATCGTATGATCATTTTCAGACTCCGAACTTTTATACACATTTTTTTCAAACTTGATTATTCGTGACATTATTTATCAATGAATTCGGAAAAACTTGTATTTTTATTAATTTATATTATTGTAATCTTTGGGATTTGATCAATCCATCTAGGTCGAGTTTAGGGTTACACATTCTCAACAATATACTTACTCGATAATACTTGCATTAGACCGATAAATATGGCTTATCGGTATCGAAAAAGCCTACAGCCTTTGGTACCGTCTCCGGGGTTCTTGAACTCTAGATTCTTGGAGAGTACAAAATTAGAAAAACTAACTAGATCAGATTAGGGCTATAAATGAGATGAATTCGAGATCGACTCGGTTAAAACTCAGTTAATACTCAAATTGAATAGATTCAACTCGAGCTCAAACCGAATTCTTAACGAGCCGTAAAGAGTTACTTGATACTCGACTGGAAAATCCTATGAGCTACTCAAAAAAATAATATATAAAAATTTTAGATTTTTAAAATTAAAGTAATAATAAATAATACCATTTGTATGTTATTTTTTTAAAAAAATACTATATAAAGTTTTCCTGTAAGGTTTGAGTTCGAATTTGTGTTGAGCTTCAATTTTTGGTTTCGAGTGAAATTTAAAAAATTTAAGCTCGCGAGCTTTCAAGCCGAGTCGAGCTTCAATTCTTTATTTTGAGTTCGAGTCGAGCTTGAAAATTTTAAGCTTACGAGTTTTCGAGTCTAGTCGAGCTCAACACTACTCGAGCTTGAATCGGCTCGTTTACAGCCCTAGATCAGATGCAAACCAACTCTATGTGACCGAGTCTAATCAAGTTACTGAAATAGACCCTAACTCATGCAAAAAAAATTGAACAAATTTAACCTATAGGATGCACGGTAACAGATCTAACAATAATAACAACATGCAGCTACCATTCTCTACCATATACTTGCATGATAATACTTACATTAGACCATTAATATGGTTCCGCAGTATCCCAAAAGCTTGCAGCCTTTGGTACTGTCTCCGGGATTCTTGAACCCTAAATTCTTGCAGAGTACAAAATCAGAAAAACTAACTAGATCGGATGCGAACCAACTCTATGCATCCGAGTCTGATTAAGTTACTGACATAAGCCATAACCCATGCCAAAAAAATGAACAAGCAAAAAGTGAAGGGTCCGATGACACCACACAATCATCCATAAGTAACTCAACAATTCCCAACAGGCTTCAGCTGTTAATCCTGGCATAAAATACCCCAAGCATAGAATACGGAAATGTAACTTACCAAAAGAAAACTACCAGAGTTATTCAGCCACCGGCCAGCAGCCATGGCATTACCTATAGCTAAAGGGCGATGAGTTATAAAGAGTCATTCAGCCAAACTCAAACATAAGTACCGGCAATCCAAAAATCCACAATTAGAACTGAAATGTTAATGCCATTAACTATATTTTCCAAAAACATAACTAAAAGATTCAAGAGGAGCTAAAACCGTGTTCAACTACACTGCCAAAAACATAATAAAATAACACCAATGGTTTGATTTGCCTGCTTAGTCGAAGAGACTGAAACCCATATCCTGCATCAATACGAAATTTCATTAGCGAAGAACACATCAAATAAGAATCAATTACAGTGTGAAAAGTAATTACATCGTCGGATTCTTCCTTCTCCTCGACCTTCTCCTCTTTCTTGGCCTCAGCAGCGGGCGCAGCACCGCCGGTAGCGGCAGTAGGAGCCGAGACAGCAACAGCTCCACCACCAGAAGGAACTGAAGCCAACTTCTCCCTTCCACTCGCAATTAGCTCGGTGATATCTTTTCCTTTAACTTCAGACAATAGCAACTCTATCCTATCATCATCAGCCTCAGCTCCAACTACAACATTCAATAAAACAAAACTTAATTCCCAATTCACCATTTTCCTTACTATTTGGTAAAATTTACGATTCTATATTAATATAAACAAATGGAAAATGGACACTAAAATAGAAATTGAGAATACAAAATGTCGATATCAAATATGCTTCAGAAACTAAGTAAAACGAGTGAGAAAAATAACCTGATCCGAGAATATTCTTCACGTCATCGGCGGAAGGGGAAGAGTTTCCTCCCAGTACGGCGAGCAAGTAGGCGGCGACCACCTTCATTTTTCGCTTGATAAAAGAGTGGAGAGGACGAGAGTGTGAATGGAGCCCCGGAGGAAGCTAGTGTTCACAGTGAAATGATTGAAGAGTTAAAGTGTTGATGTTGTTGCTAGGGTTTTTAATAATAGTGAGGGCGGCCTGATTTTATTTCGGCCTGCATTATGATTTGATGGGCGGATTTTAAGCCCGTTTTCTAAGTTTCAACTAAGCATAAATGGGCTCAAGCCCATATACGAATTGTTGTACATTTTTTTGAATAGTCTGGAACGATTATAAGATAATATTTGTTCAAAATATCTTTTAAATATTGACAAAACACACACCCTGTAGCACAATTACTCGAACTTAAAACTACTAAGGATAACAACATCCCCTTTTACAGGTTGAGGCTACATAATAAGTTCGAATTATTGTACATTTAAGTAGCAAGTTACAAATAAAAGCTTCAAGGGTAAACTACAGCTAGTCATTAAATTTTAGATTTTATATCAATTCTAGCATTGAAATTTAAAATACATTAATATTAACAACGAATTTTACATCAATTCTAGCATTGAAATTTAAAATACATTGAAATTTTACATTTTATATCAATTATAGCATTGAAATTTATAGGGTGATATTTAGGTAAATAGACCTCTAAGTTGGGCACAATTTTACATTATTTAATAAATAGAACGTATTTTGGTCATTGTAATATACTAATATTTTTTTTTGAATTAAGATTTTATTATATTAAATAGAGATTTTAATTTGTAAAATAATTATAAGATAATATCTAAAATCTATACTACCAACAATAAAAAGCATACCATAAGCTTCTCTCTCTCTCCCTCTATTTGTTAGTTTGGTCTAAATAAGATTCAAACCTCATTTGTTTTGGTCAAAGTAAGATTTGAATTTCCATAAATTTTAGTTTTGTTACTATTAATTTATAAATTAAGACCAAGCAAAATAATTATTTATGAATTAAAAATAATGGAATCTGATAATTGAAGAAAAAAGATTGTCCCAATCATTTGACTGAAATATATTGGGAAAAAATATCGAAACACCTGTCAAGGAAATAATCAAAATAAATTTAAGGAAATTAGTTAATGGAAAATAATAATTTCATCCATTTTTATGTTGAAGTCAACTATACAGTTCTCTTATTAAATTTAGCAATCAACTCTAGTATTTTATGTATCACCTAAGCCCAAAAAAGGTTGGGAAAAGTATTGCACATGCATAGATCTTAAAGTATTAATATTGTATTAATCAAAATTTTTTATTAGTTTATATAATGAATGACAGTAGAAATGTAGGCAAGATTTTTTAAGTGATGAGTAACTTATAAAGTTTAAAATAACGAAAATATATTATCAATAAAAAATATAAATAAAATATTTAAAATATATAATAATTTAAAATGTTAAGGAAGAGATAACCCCTCAATCCCTGGATGATATGGTAAGCCCTCTTTGGGTTGAGGTAGTTAACTTGGAAGGATATCTTAGACAAGACACCTCATTAGAGTAGTTATTTTTATTGAATAAATAAAAAATATAATAAAATCACAATTCTAAAAAATAATACTATGCAAATGATAGACAAATAATGTTACGGGTCATTTTCTCCTATCAAAGAGCACACACTAATCACTAGATGATGAAATTAAAGAGTTTCATAATTACTATTTTTTTAAAAAAAATTATGACTTAAAAAAAATTATGATTTTATTAATGTATCTTCTCTCACAAAAGTTTCATTTAGGAACCTTTATCAATAAATATATATATATGCTTCTCTAATTGACCATTATCAGTCTTTGTACATTGAACTTGAAACCTTCGATTAATAAAATGCAATAGGCAAATGTATCCCCATATAAGAAATCCAAAGCATATATATGAGATTCCGTTACATAATCTAAATTTTTTTAATTTTATATAAATTTAAGATCGTTGGATGAGTGAGAAAAATAAATTTGATTAACAGTGAAATGAGAATATATTTATGGGAAAAATAAAATAATGAGTCAATCTCAGTAATAAATTTTTACTCATCAACAATCTTAAATTTATATAAAATTAAAGAATTTTACGGTGAGTGGATTATATATATACACAGTTACACACACTAGTTGAATGGCCGCAAATTATACAAGAAAATAAGCCGATGAAAGTCCAAGTGACCTTCCCCAATTACTGCGATTCTTTTAATCTCCATTGAAGGCCGTCGTTTCAAGTTCGCGCACGCGTTGTTCATGCCACAATCCAAAATCTTTTCTCGCGTGCTAAACAGTAATATATAACAAAGGGTGTCGATTACATCACCCACTTCCATTATTCAATGCTCATTTGCTTCACTTTTCTTTTCTTTTGCTTACCCTTTTACCCGTTCTCTTCGGTTTCTTGATTTTTTTTGTTCTGGTGTCAATGGACTCAGATTCTTCTTCCATGTTGTTTTGCTCTGTTTGCAGTGTTTTTTCCTTCATTTTCTTCTCTTTCACCCTCTTGTTCTCTTTGTTTTCGTTGTTGATCTTCGTTTTGAGGTTGAAGCTATGGTGTAAATGCGAAATCTGCAAAGCTTTTCTCACTTCGAGTTGGACGAAAGATTTCGATAACCTCTGTGATTGGTACACTCATCTTCTTAAATAATCACCCACCGGATCGATCCATATCCATGCCCTCGGCAACATCGTCACCGCCGACCTCGAAAACGTCGAACACATTCTCAGAACCCGATTCGAAAACTACCCGAAAGGGAAACCTTTCTCGGCTCTTCTGGGTGATCTATTCGGCAATGGTATTTTCAACGTCGATGGCGATTCGTGGAATTCAAAGGAAAACGGCTAGCCTCAAACTCGGGAGTATCTCGATACGAATGCACGCGTTCGACATCGTCGAATCGGAGATTCGATCCAGACTCATCCCGCTTTTATCATCTTTCTCCTGTGAACGAGTCTTGGATTTACAAGACGTGTTTAGAAGATTTTCATTCGATAATATCTGCAAATTTTCCTTCGGGTTCGATCCCGGTTGCCTCCAGTTGTCGTTGCCGTGTCTGAATTCTCCGAGGCTTTCGATTTAGCATCGAAACTGTCTGCACAAAGAGGATTGCCGCCTTCGTCTTTGATATGGAAAGCCAAAAGTGTGTTGAATTTGGGGTCTGAAAAGAAGCTTAAACAAGCTATTAAAATGGTGGATGAATTCGCTCAATGTATGATCAAACAACGGCGCGTAATGGGATTTTCGGACAAACACGATCTTCTCTCGAGATTCATGGGAACAATCGATGATGACAAGTATCTTAGAGACATTGTCGTGAGTTTCCTCTTGGCTGGTCGTGACACGGTTGCATCGGGGTTGACAAGTTTCTTCTGGTTGTTATCTCGACACCCTAAAGTCGAGTCGTACATTCGATACGAGCTCGAAAAGGTCATGTCGTTGTCGTCATTATCGACCGACGAGGACCAACAATCCGTAACGTTCGATCAAATGAGAGAAATGCATTTCTTGCACGCGGCATTATGCGAAAGCTTGCGGCTGTTTCCTCCAGTCCAAATCGACTCAAAGTTCGTTCAAAACGAAGACGGTTTGCCGGATTGTACCTTTGTGAAGAAAGGCACTAGAGTGACCTACCATCCATATGCAATGGGTCGTATGGAACGGGTTTGGGGCTCCGATTGTCTTGAATTCAACCCGGAAAGATGGCTGAGAAACGGTAGATATATCCCTGAAAACCCATACAAATACCCGGTTTTCCAAGCCGGGTTGAGGGTTTGTTTAGGTAAGGAAATGGCACTGGTAGAGATGAAATGTGTGGTTCTAGCCATAATCAGTCGGTTCAACATCCGGGTCACCAACCCATATCAAGGGCCGAGGTTTGCCCCGGGTCTCACCGCCACCGTGAGAGGCGGATTACCGGTTATAGTCCAACAAAGGGGAGTTTAATTGTATACATGTACAGTTTATTTGCAAAGGTGTAGGAGTTAAATTTAAAAACCATAGAAGTGAGATATATCTTGTATATTTTGATAAAATATAAGGAAGTTGACTTTCTTTTCTCTTACCTTATGTAAGTTATTTAAAAATTCCTAAAAGCTTTTTAAAATTAATAATAATAATAATAAATTTTATTAAATAAAAAATATAATAAAAATATAATTTTTAAAAACAACATCTACAAAAATTAAAATAGATTAACTATATTAACATGTTTTTCTCCTAAAATCATTAAAAAATTAATCATTAAATAATAAAGACTATATATTAAAATAATTCTATAAGAAAGGTACAAAAGCCCATTCAAAGAGCTCTAAACAAAACATATATAAACTGACATTAAGTCATTACAAACACTTACTAATATAAGAGAATTAGTTCGATAATTTAAAATAAAAAAATCAATAATATAATTAAATAAAGTATGATTAAAAGGACGGGTCAAATTTAAAATTTTAAAAAATATAATAAATAAAATTATATAATAAAGGAACCTATTGAATGACTTTAATGGTAAAATTGAATATTATTATTTTTAAATGGTTTGATTTTATACAACTATGTCTATATAGTATATATATATTATTAATAAATGTATTAAATAAATATTATATTATATTATAAAAATCAAATAACAAAGAGTAACAAGGGCAACCGACCATGATTTAATGCACTTTCTTCGCTATTTTTTTAAATATTATATAGTTATCTTTTTCATCGTCAAGAGGTAACATGCATGCTTTACCGACATGTTCATTAAAATAAACATAATTACTATAAGGGAAACATGATACTTTAAAAATTAAAATAATGAAAAGTTTATTTAACTTAATGAACAATAAAATATACTATTTATTTGTAAAATATATTTAAATTAAAAAGTTATATACAATAATAATATATTCTCAATTTTCTTTAAGATTTTAATACAATTAGAATGTAGTGTCTATATTTGATTTCAAATATTGATAAATATACACACGTTTGTAGATAAAATTATTTGAACTTGAATTATTTAAGAAGAATAACATTTTATTTACCACCGAAACCATTCTTTGATTTCAATCCTTAAATATTTTTAAAATATTAATTAAGTTCCTAAACCTT